TTATAAGACAATTAACATAAAATAAAATAAAATAGTTAAGCCGTTACACAATTATTGATATAGGTAAGTCATACAAGAGAATTTCTTTCGGTGTTTTTCTATCTTTGTCTAACTSACACATGACACAGGATCTCAAATTCCTAAAAATGTTATATTAAAAAATTTTCATTTCAATAAAATAAAAAAATACTCGCTATTGTCCGGGTGTTCTAACTTAACCTACACCGGAGGCCTGTTTGGCAGAATTTCTAATGGGGCACTACCATGCCCCGGAGTGGGGAATGGCRGCTCTTTTTCTCCAGACACCGTGATTTGCCCGGAGAAAAATGCTGATGGTCGAGGATCAAACCCAGTCCAGCTGTGCCACAGCCGACGCRTTAGAYCGCTCGGCCACCTCGTCCCCCATTCCAATTTAAAATCATGAACTAAAAATGTGGAAAAATCAATCTCAAGAAAAATAAACCAAATAAATAATTCAAATCTGTTTTTAGAATTCTTATTACTTCATTAAATCAATCGTTACGTTTGGAAACTATAATTCACTATTAGACAAAAACGAAAAATCACCGGGAGGAATCTTCTTTAACAGGTCAAATGAAATTTATACTTGTATTTACATTAATGTTTGCTAAATAATTAACAATAGTTGTCAAAAATAATTTTTGAGTAGGTTTCAAATTTAGTTTACGATTTAAATATTCAATCAAGTCATCTAGAGTCATTTTCTCTTGAGATCATAATAAACATGGTTATAAATTTATAATTAATAAAGTAATTTTGGCAGACATTAAGTGACATTCTTTTATCAGCTAAAAAATAATTGAATTAAAATTCTTGATTTTATTACAATGTTAAAATTTATTTATATCTTTTAAAAATGACAAACAATTATCTACAGTGTATTGATTATGACGGTAAATAAAAAGAGAAAAAAATTTCAGGTGAGTTAAAACCTTAGAACCCCAATCCTACATATGCCACTGATTTATATTATGATGAATCTAAATTTTTATTCATATTTTACTTGAGGACGTCTTCATTCCTAGTTGTAGTCTTCGTCTTACTATGTCTTATTCAATGTGTGTGACACATTGAWTAAGTTCAGCAGTTCAAATTTAATTTCAATAGTTTTAATATTATAATTTATAATAAATTTAAATTTATTAAAATTARGATAAATAACATTGTTTGTGTTTTTTAAAAGAATGAGATCATTTTTAATTATAATATTTTACTCATTTATGGTTCACTTTTAAATTAAAGGGTTAAAAAATTTCCCTTTTACATTAAGTTAAAAAACAGGGCAATTYATTAAAATTATTATTGAACTATTTAAATTAAATGTGAAATGCTGAACATAAATTTRTTTGTTATGTTAAACACTTGAAAGATTGAGACAATAAATATGGGTGTGGTGTCCTCTTAAATTACTAGCTATACTTGAACATTAAGATTGATTTAACCTAACCTAAGCTAAAATGGCTATTAAATATTAAGTAACTGACTAATAAATTAATAACCTTATAATCTTTACTTTTTCATACAATAAGTTATACCAATATAACCAATAAATTTAAAAACATTTTCAAAAAAATTTAAAATTAAGTCACCCATTCGTTTTTCTCGTCTTCTTCTTTGTAAATTAATAACTGTCTCTCCAAATACTGTTGCTTCATCTTCACTAGCAAAATTGAACCCAACTATACATTCCTATATTAAATATTTGTAGCATCGTTAATTAAATATATACATAAAATATTTGAATTTAATATACACTTAAGAGTTCCACACTTACATGTGTTGTTTATGTCTATTGGTTTAAAATACAACACAGTAAATTTGCAATCAGCTGAACTAATTRTGTGTTGTGTCGGATTTAATAATTAAAAAGCATTGATCTAATATCAAACTTAAAGCTAAGAATATAATCTGTGTTTGTTTTATTCAATATTTGAATTTTCAAGCAAGTAATGAGAATGTAAAATATTACTGTTAAAAAATACTTTATTAATTTATTTAAAGATTGAAATACCGTAAAAATCCAACTAGTAAAAGTTTGATAATAGACAGATAAATTAACTTTAACATTAAATATGAAGACACAAATCTAGTTTTGCTGAATACAAATTTTGAAAGTTTTTACAGCTATAACAATAAMACATGGGTGTGGCATTCATCTTTAATTGAAAAGTTTAATGAATAATTTCAATTTTTTTTTAATTAACTATGTCAAATTTATCCAGTTTTAAGCATTCTAAATAATTMTTAATATTCAAATATCTTTTGAGCCTAGATGGAAATTAAATTAGTATTTTATTTGAATGAATAAAATTGAATAATCTTATGATACGAGTTGATGACATGGATACTGTTCTTTTTCAAATTTTATCTTTTAAGTACCTAATTTCAAGGAATATCTTCACCAAAAAAATATTTTATAATTCAATAAAATTTTGTTAAGGAGATATAACTTATAATGGACAAAAACAATTGGACTACCTAATGTAAATAAAAAATATCTTATAGTTATTTCAATTTACCTCAGCTTCAAAACAATGGAAAAATTTAGCAGAACTTTGGTATTGCAATCCATTATACATTTCATGTTCCCACAATAACTGGTGTCTTATTGGACAATACAATCGAAAATAATATGACTTTCTGTTCGGATCTCTGACAAAACAAAGTATTCCAAAATTTTTTTGCCTCCATTCAGTACCTTCAGGACCATCTGTGCTAAAAAACTGAACTACAGCCATAGCTAAACTCTATAAAAAAAATTGACAGTGTTATATAATTAGAATAAAARTTCTATGAAGAATGAAGAATAAAAGATAATTCACCTGACATTTTGGACCCAATAGTTGTAACACAGATTCATTTTCATCCTTGCTTAATAACTGTGAACATTTTTGTTCATGATATAATCCTGGTTTCATTATAATTATTACTGATGCTAGTAAAAAACACAGGATAATAAATCGTTGAATAAATATTGACGGTTGGGCGATATAATTTCACATTTATTAAAATGTTTAATGCTTAATGCACAATATCGTCAATATCGAAATGTTGAATATATTCAGTAGATTACAGTAAATCACTTTTTAGTACAAATTGATAAGTGATAACATCTGTTTAACACATAGAGT